CGGCTGCCCCCCCTCGGCCTGCACAACGTGTGTTTCTCCTTCACCCCAGTCTCGTTGGGAGAGAAGAGGTCCCCGAGTCCGGCTGGGAGCCATGGCCGCCGTGGTGGCCAAGCGGGAGGGGCCGCAGTTCATCAGCGAAGCGGCGGTGAGGGGGAACGCCGCCATCCTGGACTATTGCCGGACGTCTGTGTCGGCCCTGTCGGGAGCCACGGCGGGGGGGCCTGACCGGCCTGCACGGCTTCATCTTCTACTTCCTGGCTTCCGTTCTCCTCTCCGTGCTCTTGGTGTTAAAAGCCGGACGGCGATGGAATAAGTACTTTAAATCCCGAAGGCCGCTTTTCACTGGGGGGCTTAGGGCTCTTCACATATGTCCTGTTCTGGACTTTCCTGTACGGCATGGTTCACGTCTACTGAACCAACGAGGAGCCACGGTAGCTGCAGTGGTTTTTAATGAAGCAGGAGGACTGTTGCCAAAAGTCATCTACACACCTAGGCCAGCTTACCTTTTAAACTGATGTTCATCGCTTGTATTGTTAATCCCGTCGGTAAATTATGTCCCAGTACGGATGACTCGGTAGTGCTGTTCTAATTAAACTGAATGTGACACACCACTTGAATGCCTCCCATGAATGTTTGGTTGTTAAGGGATAACTTCTGCTCCTAATTGCAGGCACAACCATGGGGCTTGGTTAACGTAGTCCCATGTATCCTTTCTGTTTTGGGTAAGACACACCACTTATGGTCCCTTCTAGATTTGCTGCCTGTCCCTGCACACGAATTCTGATGAAAGCAGTGTGTAACAGCACTCTTAAAAATAATCCACTGACACAAGGAAATCCTGCACAGTGCCGTGTAATTAATGCATGTAATGGTTTGGTACAGAAATGTAACCAAGTTGCTGGTGCGAATGTTATTCCCACAATTGCTGTGTACACGCTCTCAATAAAGGACGTTGTCACGGGCACTCTTCACTGGCACTCACCCCAAGTAGCGCTGTTGCAAGGCAAACCCTTTGCTCCTCGGGCCCAGTGACACAGCCAGCCAAGTCAGCGTGATGTCTTGCCCCGTGCCAGCTCAGCCTGTACTGCACACGCTTCTACACCGTTCAGCATTTTCTGTAACTGAGCTGTGTGGTTCTGTGTGGTCCCTGGCAGAAACTGAAAGGAAAAATCGATCGCCAGCCATACAGGTAAGCTTTGCTGTAGACTGCTCGTGCAAACGCAGTGTTTGGAGGCTTCATTTCAACACAGCGATCAAACTCTTGTACAATGCCTAGCGTGAGTTGTGTGTTTTCTTCTAGAACATGCACTGCTCACCTGGTAAATGCTGTTCTTTGAACCAGTCATTGCTTCACCAGAACACCGTAAGATATTTCCTTCTTATGTTGCACAAAGAATGTACAAGGTAACATTCTGTTATTTTAAAATATTTTACAGAAAAATCAACAACTGCTGAAATACAAGGTTATACGAAAGGTGGATTTGATACTATAAAGATTACCTCGGTGGTGTTTCCTTGTGGGGAGAAACCGATTAAGGTTTGAATTCCCTCAGTAGTGGCTGCTTCAACAGGTTCATGCCCTCAGAAAACAACTGGCACTTGCTGCCCATTACTGGGCGTGTGTTACACACCTCTACTATTCAAATACTTCCTAAACTCTTCATTGGCTTGCTGAGCAGAAGTATGCTAAGGAACACACCTTACAGAAGAGTCTCCAAAAACGCCCTAAAGTGACAAATTTTATTGCTGTACATTAAATACAAGGAGGAAAAAAAAAAGAGAAGGAATCCAGTTATGTTTATCAGCAGCAACGGTTATGGGAATTGTGTCAAACAGAAGGGAAATATTCTGTGGAGTTTTGGGGACCTGAAACCCCTGAGGACTTAAATTCAGGAAACAGCTTTGGCCATCTAACAGGACGATGTTGTTTTGTCAAGTTGAAACGTGGGGGGTTCACCATGCATTTCACCATCTAGAAATTGCTTAAATAGAATTAAGCTCTGACAATCAAAAGCTGTTTTACTGGCACGTCAGTTATAGATGTTAACTTGTGTTTGCTTAGAGGAGAGACTTCTGGCATGAAGAGAGGCAGTTCTAGCACCAGAGGTACACAGCTTATCCTAAATTATTTTAAGTCTACTGTTTCATTCTATTTTCTAGCTAAATGTTTGACTCAATAATTACTTGCATCTGAACAGACGCAGAGGGAGTGGATGAGACTGGGTGGGGTTTGCTCTTGGTGACCAGATTTGGAGTTTGCCACTGCTAACAAAGGCGAGTTTTAATTTAGAATCAGCCTTTACCTCAGAGTGACCACCTGAAAGAAGTTAAAGCAGAGATGAGTGTCTCCAGTCTGTGTCAACACCAGCCTCTACAGCTGTCCTAGCAGTGCACAAGTCCTGTAATCTTGATGTTCAAAGAGTGCACAGAAACACTTGATCACGATGACTCCTGGCAGCGTGTACAGAACACGGCAATCGGTTTGCACCAAGCCACAGTGCAAAAAGCTTTAATTGAGGCAGGAATATTTATTCACCCGCTGCCTTCAGGAGCTGATCGGTTGACTCCTGGCAGGTCAAGCAAGTGAAAACTTAAAAAGTAAACAATGATACCGCATCAGTGTTTTTCTGAGATTAGTTACATCCCCACATGAGCATAAATTCACAAATGGGCTGCAATGAGATTTATTTCTCTGTTAAGAAACAAAGGAGCACTTGTAGTTCTTGGAAGTTACCAGAGTGTTGAAATAGTCGACATTTGTCTTCCAAATTTTCCTCCTGTAGGCATATTTGGAAGAACCTGGCAAAATCTGTTAGCTGACAGAACTCCCTTTTTCAATCTCTGCAGTACAGTTCAGAATACTACAAAAACCAGCAGAAGCATTAAGTCCCCTGTCCAGATCTCTCCCCACCATCAGCAATCGATGCAGAAAGGACCATCCCGAGCAAACGAAACGGCCACTGAACAAAGGAACGGACCCTGGGACGTGTCCGTGCACATACTTCCAGTGCCACGTTGTTTTCCAGTGTGCTATCCCAATTCTCCCCCTGCTATCAAACACAAAAAACATCTGTCCTTGCCTTGCTTCAAAATACTCCTCTGCCTGCCGTTACCTGCTCTGTACTCGGCAGTGTTGGTTCTCTGGGGTGGCCACCAGCGGAGGCAGGGGGTGGCAGGGCAACAGCCCCCGCTGTCACACAGGCCCCATAAGCACAGGCATTGCAGATAATGAGCCCTTTTCCCCTGGCTCTCAGAACTGCTGAAATGCTGCATTTCACCGCACTTCCCGACAAGAGCAGTGCCGCTGCTTCACATTTAATCCTGCATGTAATACAAGCGAGAGTTGGGAGCGGTGGCCGCAAGGCAGTGGAGCAGGAGATGGGGTGAGTTGCGGCCTCAGCCCTCCTGACAGTGCCACATCGTGGCTCTTTCACACACAGAAGCAAAGCGCAGCCCAGGGTAATGCTGGCTATCGACGTGGGTACAGACATATCTATCAATAGATATAAAAACATTCTTTTGGTGCCTTCTTTATCCTTTCATAAAATCCTTTTATAAATCCATAGTGACGATGCACTGTTGCAAGCTCAGTTTACCAGAGAACATCTCAGGGAAAGGAGGGCATTCTTTAGAGGACGTTTTTGCCCCTGAGAATCCTGATAATAGAGAGTAGACCTGATCTGGGCTATCTCCACCTCCCAGTCCTGGTGTGGTTCGCCCTGTGTGGTTCTCTGGGAACACCAGTCCAGCTGGCAGAGCCGTCGCTGTGCCTAGAGCCCACCGAGCTGCTCAGGGCTCTGGTTCCCATTCAGCGTGGGGCTAGATAACGATTTCCTGGAGCTGGACCTGAGGAAGCAAGCAAAGGGGACAGACAGGGCTCGCAGGCTGTTTCTGTTGTTGAAGGAAGTGATGTGGGCAAGAGGTTTCCAGCCAGGCTGGCACCCCTCACCACAAAGACCATCACCCCCTGGACAGCTGCAGCCCCAGCTCCCAGATTCAGGAGGCTCTGGCGCTCTTGGAGCTGCCTCAATTGCACCCGCAGTCATCACAGACCAACAGTGCAAGGGCATTTATAGCCCAGCCGTGACACAGCAGCTTCCTTTGCTCCCCAGCAAACTGCAGCAGGGAATTACAGAGGGAGGGAGGGAGAAACTTGGCTAAACTCATTTGGAGGAATATAATTTCCCAGAATTTGCCTTTGTTTGCCATTAATGTTTATTCTGTTCCCGTATCTCCTTCTATTGCTATCAGTCATAACAATAAAGCCATTACATTTAAAGACAAAAGCCACTTACTTTACTTCCTCGTACTTTTTGCCTCGATAAAAGTTACTCTTTTTAATCAGATACAGCAGCACCAGATCACAAAAGAAAGCTCCCTGCAACGAGAAAGAGCTTGTGTTTTATCTTTAGAGTAGGAGAGGAAGGGTTCTGATCTAATGAGCATTAATTAAAGAAGAATAACTTGTAGGAGCTGTATTTTTCTTCATACTCCATGGTATCTTAGGGGTATTTAGACCACAAGGCACATTAACAGATGCCTTTAAGACAGGACACACGCACACCTGACTGAGCACTCAAAGTAGCAAAAATCTCTCCTGGAGAAGATATAAACCCACGGTCTCATTTTATCCTTAAGCCACCACATGGGGGAGCTGGGTCCCAATATGTGAATTTAAGAAAATACTTTCACTTACCGCTCCCATGAGAGCGAGACCCGAACCGATATTGATAATGGTGGGAATGATGTTAAATTTCCCTGCCTAAAAGAAAAAAGTCATGAAGCACTCAGTGAAAAAAACAACCCAAGAAACAAAGTTAGAGGCGTGGTATTGCACAGGGGAAGCTACTGGTGCCCGTGGCTGCTTGGTTAGGAACGGGCGGCACAACCATACAAGATTTGCACTGAATGACCTTGGAGGCTGAAGGTCTGTGTGTGCCTCAGACCCAGCTGTCCATGGCTCCATTTCTGAGCTTGTGTCATCCCTGGAGTAGGCTGCTTTTTCTGCAGTGCATACACATGGAAAACAAGTCTCGGGGTGGGTATTCACTTCTGTCAGACTTTACATGAGCCTCTTTTTAGGCAGAAGAGATGCAGACTCATCCACATCCCCTTTCTCATGTAGGGTTAGCTCCACATGGAAGACGAAGGGCAAGAGCCCTTCCCTGCAACAAGCTAGAGAGGCTGTTCTCATACCAGAGCTGCCTTCCCACTGACAGATGTCCCCCTGCCTTTTTCCTCTCCAGGCTCTGAAATACCCTGGCCTGGGGCCTCACCTTGCCATTCACCATCACATCAAAGCGGATCCCATATGCTTTAATGAGCGTCCGGTAGTCAACCCCCTCAGCATCCCGGTAATATTTGGCAAACCTGGAATACAACAATGCTGATTTTTAACTCCATCATCTGCACCCCTACACAAGAACCCACCCAAATTCACCTATCTGTTCCAAGTGAGCTATTCCCCCATCAAAACTCCTTTGGCTTGCCATGAGCATGGCTCTCTGCCTCCTCTCCTCTGTTTGGCTGGGGCAGGGTCTAGTGTGGTCTGGTACAGCTTCACTGCCAGCCTCCAATGTCCGAGTCAAACCAGCTCAGCCCCATGGT